CTTAATACAATGTCTGACACGTATTAAGCACCTCAACTGAGCTACATGAATGGCTTGAGTTAGGAGAAAAGTCCACTAGAAACAACTCCAGATCATTAGAATTCTGGAGACCCGACTTTGGTAATAACTAGCTGTATCACCTTCAACTTCAACCTTCCAGAATGGTCATCTGCAAAGAAAAGAGAGTGGACCAAATCCTTTTTTAATTATAAGCTGTTGTCTAGCATTAGCTGGCTATAAAATCAATTTGGGGGACAAAACTCAGCATTTTTTTAATGAAATCAGGTGCACTAGAAATATCAATGTGTATTGTAGGCAGCAGTGTGCTGAAAATGTTCAACAACTGGCTATACAAAGGGAAGAAAAAAGGCCCTAAACTATACCATTTGCTGATTTCCCTGGTATAAATACCCTCACGCCATGGCCAGCTTCAAGCTACCAGCATGATGGCACTGAACATGGAGCTGGGTGGGAAGAGGGAAGCACACTGCTTCTGCAATGCCACATGATGAGCCAGTTCCAGCAAGGTCCTGAAAAGATAAGTATTGTTTTGCCAAACTTTGTGTGCATGCACTTGAGTGTGGGGGGAGGAGGGGTTGAATCAAGGTATAAAATGTGTTTCTTACTGTAAGTCACAGTCAAAACAATTTAATAAATGTTCAGCTAAACAATCTCCTAGTCTCTTTCATATGCCCTACACAATGCAATATATCTTATTCTTGGTTACATATGTAATTTCTTCTCCACCACAATTTATTGCTCTTCAAAAATAAGAGTTACAGGGGCGCCTGGGTGGCTCAGTGGGTTAAGCCTCTGCCTTCGACTCAGGTCGTGATCTCAGGGTCCTGAGGCATCGGGCTCTCTGCTCAGCGGGGAGCCTGCTTCCCCCGCCCCCCCCCCCCCCCCCGGCCTCTCCGCGGCGGGGCCCCCTCCCCCCCCCCCCCCCCCCCCGCCTGCTGCTCTGCTTACTTGTGATCTCTCTTTGTGTCAAATAAATAAAAAGAAACCTTAAAAAAATAAATAAATAAGAGTTACAGAGATGCTTATTGATATCACCAGAAGGTAACTTACAGGGAGTGGAAATTTGGTTTAGGAAGTATCAGAAAAGGGCCAAGGTTCTCAGCCTTTGTTCAGCCTCACACATCTGAGGGACATAACACACTCCTACTAGTAGCAAGTGGCTCACTTAGCAAAGAGTTGGGAGGACAAGGGAAGAGGAAGAGGAAATATATAGTATAAAAAAAAAATCCGGGACGCCTGGGTGGCTCAGTTGGTTAAGCAGCTGCCTTCGGCTCAGGTCATGATCCCAGTGTCCTGGGATCGAGTTCCGCATCGGGCTCCTTGCTCGGCAAGGAGCCTGCTTCTCCCTCTGCCTCTGCCTGCCATTCTGTCTGCCTGTGCTTGCTCTCTCTCCCTCTCTCTCTGACAAATAAATAAAATCTTTAAAAAAAAAATAAAGTAAAATAAATAAAAATAAATCCAAGTAACTGTGACATTTGTGCCCATGCCCCACTCCACCGAGAACTCGGGTACAGAGAAAAACAGTGCTGTAAAAAAAGTCAATTTCTGAATCTGATGTTTCCCAGCCAATTTCTCCAGCAATTAGCCTGCATCCCCAAACAAGATCTCCATTACTAAGAATTCTCTACTAGAATTAAGTTTCTGCCGTGGACTAGAGACATGTACTTGTTGAATTTAGAATAAGCAAGGGAAAAAAAACAGCACAGCCAACAGTTGTTAGACTTGACATTCTGAGAAAATCAGGCTTTTACTGGGGGGGGGAACCTTTCTTACTTCTTATTTAAGCTTACTAAACTGGGTAAGGAGAGACGTTTCTTGAATATATTTTTGGCTGTTCTATGTCTATCACAACAACACGGTCTGTAACCAGATTTTTCAGAAGTGTTTATAAAAAATTGTGTTTTCTATTTTTAAAGCTATTTAGAAAACAAGAAGGCTCAGAATTTCAGATAGACTACTAATTGTAGCCCACATCTAACTCCAAATCAACTAAGTATATGCCTAGAAGTTTCCAAGGAAAATCCCCAAAAATTACACCAAAAAATACCAAAAGATGATAAAAAGGAGTCAGCATGAGAACAAACTGCTATACTCAAACAATTCTGGCATCCTAGCTACTGAATGAATGCAATATGGAAAATAAATGAAATATGAAAAAGTAAACGCTGAGATACAAATTCTGCTAAATTCCATTAAGTCTTCCTTATTAGGGGTCCACTGAGGTTCACATACTTATACCCAATACAAACATTAACCATAAACTGAAAATTAATTACCACTCTGAAAAGTCACGAGTCAAGTCAAGCAATGTCTTCCTCCATGTTCACAATATTAAACCTCTCCTCTAAAATATGAGTGGGTTTTATCATAACTCAGATTCAAGTCTGTACTTTCTCTGCCTCTACTTTATTGGTGCCAAATGTCATAAGACTATCTCCATAAGAAGTTCCTGAGCTATCTTTGCAGTACCAGAGGCTCATATAGCCTTGTGCTACTGGTCATGCTCAGACCCAGTGGCTGAGCCATTTATACAAGGCAAGAACTACATAGAGGTAGCAACTCATTACAACTTGTGAGACAGAACAAAACAAAACCAAAAAAAAAAGCTCCGTGCCTGAGAATACTATAAACTAAAGTATCTACTCCATTCTCCAAACACCCTCTTTCTAGCCATAATCATCCCTACACCTCTTCAAGACAACGGTAGGATGGAATGCAGACCCAGTTCTACACCCCCAATGCAACAAATTTTTGCTACGTAGCTACTATGCTCTTTAAAGTTCATCTCTTGAAGCTTGGCTATCTCCCACTCATAATATTTTTTCTTGGCACAACAAAATTCCTTCTTTTAACTACTCCATTAAGCATGGATAAAAGGACTTTCAGCTTTAATGCTGTATCATCTGAGTTCAAATAAATGTACAGTAACTGAATAAGTTGAAATCTGGGTTAAAGCAAAGAAAAAAAATTTAATTATAACTTTTTAGAAGTCAAATTGTACACTGGTGAGTAAACATGAAAACTTTAGTTTCATATGCCTTATAAAATTCTGTCATTCAAAGAAAAACAGCATAAAAACTACTAGAGTGAGGGGTGCCTGGATGGCTCAGTCATTAAGCCTCTGCCTTAGGCTCCAGTCATGATCCCACAGTCCTGGGATCGAGCCCCACATCCGGCTCCCTGCTCTGCAAGAAGCCTGCCTCTCCCTCTCCCCTGCTTGTATTCCTTCTCTCCCTGTCTCTCTCTGTCAAATAAATAATAAAATCTTTAAAACAAAAACAAAAACAAAAACTACTAGAGTGAAAAGACAATTATCTTAATCATGAAACATTAAAAAAGGAACAAAAACTCACAGAATATCAAAACTATAATAAATAAAAGTTCCTATCAAATAACTCAGGCCAAAAACAAAACAAACTTCATACATGTATTGTCACACCTTCTCATGCTGGGTGGTGTGGTGTATTCACCATGGGTCCCAATACCACTGGGATCTACTACCTTGTTTCCAGCTTTCTAAAATACAGTGTAGGCTATATAATATGTTCACATATAAGCACTACCCAACTACACCCACTTCTCCCCAGATGACTTATTAATATATCCTATCAGAGCACACTTTGAACTGATTTAATATAGACCCTGAGATTCTCTCCCAGTCTCAACTAACTCACCAAGCAGGTGAGCATTTAAAGACAAATGGATCAAATTCACCTGGTCTTTCTCCCCTGCAATTTGGTTGTCAGTTTCCTATGGGACTCTACTGAGATAATGAATCACAGGCCAGTTTTCCAGCTCTAGCTGCCTGTGGACCAATATTTTCCACGGACAAAATCCACTTCCAATCTGACCACAAGCAAACTTCATTTTTGTAGTTTCTGACATCATCGTATTGGATATTCTGCAGAAGTACAGCAGAAGCTAAATATAAACACTACTAGAAGAAAAGTCAGAGCGTTTTCATGAAATTGTGTTTTCAGAACTGCAAACAAGCAACTATCTACCTCCCACCAAGTAGAAGAAAATTTAAATGTATTAAAAATCCCTAAACCTTCCCGTACCAAAAATGCAGGCCTTGAAATCAGTTTCCAGTCGGCGCGGAAATCTCTCAAGCAAGCAAAAGTTCTCCTTACCATTAATTAGTATAATGAGGTTGGCGTTTCTCCTCACTTGCAGGAAACCTTCAACTCTGCAAGTGACCACCTACATTTTGGTAAAATCTCTAAGATAATCCTGAGAAGTACAAGGAGAGTACACAATTACCTGCACACACTGCCCTGAGATCAGAAACAAACCCTGTCAGCCCAGTCCCCCACCATCCAACCACCTTCCGGGGCCGGGGGCCCCTTTCCACATGCTGACGCACCGCGCAGCCCTGCATCGCTGGCGACCAGTGCAAAGTACTAGCCCAGTCTCAGAAACTTTGACTCAGTTATCAGGACACTGAGCACTCACACCTGACAGAGGACTGTCGTGGCCAGTCAGTCAAGTCCGAAGCGGGGCATTCCTTACAGGTAGAGATCTGCCCAGGACGCAGCCCATCCCAAACTGCAAAACCACAACCATCAACAGCAAGAGCGGAGCAAAGTGCCGGGCGGAGGCAGGGGAGCGCGAGGGCGAGACGCGGTCACGAAAGGAAGCCTGAGTGTGGGTTTAAAAAAAAAAAAAAAATATATATATATATATATATATATATATATCCTAATCACAAGCCCCCCGGACGCAGGGCTGCTGAGACCGCGAGCCCAGCAGCAAGCAAGGCGCAGCGGCGGAGGCGGCGGCAATGTCAGGAGGGCACAGCCGGGGGCGAGCGCCCAAGTCCCCACCCCGCCCCCAGGTGAGGGGCGACCCGACTCCGCCCGCCCGCCCGCCCGCCCGGGCCAGGAAGAGAGACTAGCAGGCAGAGCCGTGGGGTCCAGGAAGCGACCGACAGTCCCGAAACCCCAGTGCCCTCCTCCCCGCCGTGCTCTCGCATCTAGTCCTCGGCCCGGCCCCCAAATCGACCCTCCCCCGGCTCAGCCCCGGCGCCAACACCCCCGGCCCGGCCCGTGGCTCCTGGCCGCCCGGCCGCCCGCCGGCCCCTCGGAGGCCGCCCTCGCCTCACCTCCTCACGTCTTCGCGGACAGGGCCGGAACAACTCTGACGGGCTCCCGCGTCTCACCCGCCGCCCCGCGCTCTGCGGCCGGGCCCGTCCCGTTCACTCCGCGGCCGCCAGAGCCCTGGGAGGGCGGAGGGAGCAAGGCGGAGGGAGTAGAGAAGGGGTGGGGGAGAGGAGGACCGCCTGGCAGGAAGAGGCGAGGGAGGGGGCGGGCCGAGGAGGAGGTGGGTCGGGAGCGCGCGCGTCTGGGCCCCTCGGCTCGGCGTGCGCGCTCCTGAGGGCGGAGGCGCCTTCTCTGCCCTCGGAGGCGGCGCGCACGCGCGTACACGTCCCCGCCTGGCGGGGGTTGGGGTGGGAGACCGGGGGATGGGGACCGGGCAGTGAGGCCCGGGCAAAACTCGGGTTGTCAGGGTGGAGACCCGGGAAAGGGCGTTAGACGGTCGCCGTCCCGCAGAACCTTCCGGTGGGGTAACCGAGCCAGTGGGGCCGGCGAGTTTGGGCTCGCTGAGGGGCGTCCTCAAGCCCAGGGTAGGGTGGGCTGACGGGCTTGTCCAGAGGTCAGAGTTGTTAGATGGTTCTAAGTTTGGGGCGATTGTGTTCCTGCTCATAAACCGGTTTACATATTTTCATTCTTAATGCCCAGTAATCCCCAAGAGAGTCACCGTAAAGAATACTAACTTTTCTCGCCAGTTACTGTTAGGTGCCTCTTTGGAAAGTGCGTGCTGGTCAAGCGCTCCCTTTCTTGTTCGTTCTGTGGAAGATTGAAGACGGAAAACACCTGCTATGTATTTATATTAAGAAAACTCAAATCACGCGGTCCTTTGGGGTAGTGAATTTGGGAGTACAAATTAATAGAGATAAACCAACTCTTTTTCCTTCACAAATATTGTATATTGATCCTTGAACTGTCAGTATCTTCCTTCATAGAGCCGGCAGCCAGAAATGAACTGTAAATTTTCTTAATTTCCATAGCACTTTGTTTCTATAGGTTTGAGGCACCGAATATATTCAACCCTATCTAGGTAAATCTGTGCGATATTTTCTCTCATAGAGAATCCTTGAGGACCTGACTTCATTCATTTTTTATCTTCCACAATGCCTAGCATAGAGCCTGACTCCTAGAAAGTACTCCATGCATGTAACTATATGAATAAATGAATATAGTGCGTTAAGAGTTAAGTGTATGTCCAATGATTTAAGCTCTAGAATGAATTCTTTAGTATAAAATCCTCCCTTCTGCCCCACTTCAGTTCCTCTGCACTCATTTCCCCAACTAGATCCAAAAACTACCCTGAGAAATACGACATTAGTCCAGAGGGCCCTCTCTCTTTCTCTTTCTCGCTCTCTTTTTCTTTTTCCTGATTTAAATGTCTAGAGATGCTGGGACATATCAGGAGTGTTGCAACTATCTTGTGTTTCCCCTATCTTCTGGGCTCCTTCCATGAAGGTCCTCCAACTTCTGTATTCCAAGAGTCTACCTACCTCTGGGACTGACTCAATAAATGTCTGAATTTTGATATGTAATAATATTAGGGTTGGAATAACTCAAATTATCTGTAGCTATTAATACACCAACAAGTACCTATTCATAAATAAGCCGACAAGTACTGAGTCTCTACTAAATTACTAGAAAAGTTACACTGGGCACCATAAGGAAATCAACAGATGAAAAAGATGTAAGTTTCCACCTTCCGGTATCTTTTTTTTTTTTTTTAAAGATTTTATTTATTTATTTGTCAGAGACAGAGGGAGAGAGAGTGAGCGAGCACAGGCAGACAGAGAGGCAGGCAGAGGCAGAGGGAGAAGCAGGCTCCCTGCCGAGCAAGGAGCCCGATGTGGGACTCGATCCCAGGACGCTGGGATCATGACCTGAGCCGAAGGCAGCTGCTTAACCAACTATCTTTTGACTAGAGAGAAGCTATTTGACAAAAAGAGCAAACTCTGTCGGGCGGCCACAGGTTACATCTCTAATCACCAGGGGTCATTGTGTAAAACTGAACTGTTCCTCACAGTAGAACTTAGATAAAAGATGTCGCAAGAGAACCTAGATAAGAGACAAGTCCCAAGAGAACCTAGATAAGAGACAGTGAAGGTGATTTGGTACAAACTTACTCTCATTCTCTGGAAAACAATTCTAAGTACACGCCAAAGATTTAATAACAAAGCATTGTTCATATAATGCGTGCTGCTCACTTCTCTTCCCACGATGACTTCTTTTGCAATAAGCATATGCTAGCAGCCCTAATCCTTGAAAGGACTGAAAGCGCTCACGTTGGAGAAGGTTATAAAGTATTCTAGCATGGCTCATAACATGATAGAAACTGGTGGCCTACGTCCAGATCTAACCCACAAACATGTTTTGTTTGGCCTGCATGGTGCTTAAACAAATTAGCCAAGTTAAAATTTAAAGCCAGAAGATATCAAATGCATTCCGGCTTCTCTTTAAAAGGCAGATAGGGGTCACCTGTGTGGCTCAGTCGGTTAAGTGTCTGCCATCACCTCAAGTCCTAATCCCGTGATCCCAAAACTGAGCCCCTCTATCTCAGGTTGTATGCTCAGCTCCCTTCTCTTTAAAAACTGGAGATTTGGGGGCGCCTGGGTGGCTCGGTGGATTGAAGCCTCTGCCTTCGGCTCAGGTCATGATTCCAGGGTCCTGGGATCGAGTCCTGCATCGGGCTCTCTGCTCAGCAGGGAGCCTGCTTCCTCCTCTCTCTCTCTCTCTCTGCCTGCCTCTCTGCCTACTTGTGATCTCTGTCAAATAAATAAATAAAATCTTAAAAAAAAAAACTGGAGATTTGGTAACAGTGGACCTTCATTTTCAGGTGGTGACAATCAGCCACCTATAAGACATTCATTCTCTCCATTCTCAAAGTTTCTGTATTCCCTATTTTACCTTACCCTGTTTCCCTCATGTGGGTCTGCATCTCCCAATTTAAAATTTCATAATATAAAAATCAGGAAACATGGGGAGGGGGGGGTGGGAGGTTGGGAGCACCTGGTGGTGGGTATTAAGGAGGGCATGTATTGCATGGAGCACTGGGTGTGGTGCATAAACAACATATCTTGGAACACTGAAAAACTTAAAAAAAAAAAAAAAAAGATTCCCAGAAAGCCCTGAAAATATGGGAACCTTTAGGTTGGTATGGACACCTAAAAGGCAAGAGTCATGTTGAATTCATCTTTGTTTCCCTGGTGCCTATGTCGGCTGGAGTGGTGGATAAGGAAATCAATTAGTAAATATTTTATACATTAAAAAAAAACAGGAAAGGAGATACACATTGAACAAAATGGAAGAGTTTAAATCACAGTATTTAATGGTGTGAAATATTATATTTCTCTTATAATGGGCATTATTAGCTGACTCCCCAGCATGCATTTCTAACCCTCTGCAATTGTGAGGCAGCTAATGATTTGAACAGAAAAGGCCCAGCTCCAGAGGTGTGGGCCTTAATGGATGTCCATAACCAGCCTAATCTGGTCTCCACCTAACTCTCAGCGTTCAAGGATCTAATGCAGTTCTAAATTGGTCCAGTCCTAAGGAAGGCCAAATCTCAGATTTATTAGCAGAAGAAATGTGCTCTGCCTCTTACTCTGGCTGGTGTGATAGGTGGATATAAGTCCAATAGTTACTGTGACCACTTGGCTACTGTGAGGGAAACCAACTGAGGATAAAGCTAACACAGAATTGAAGAGCTCAAATCTATGTTGAAGCCTACCCCTTCCTCCAGATTTAGTAAGTTTCCTAAGCCAATAAATTTTCTTGACTATTTTAAAAAGTTCAAATTTGGCTTTTTTTTAATTGCAGCCAAAGTTAAGTTTTCTGTACACATTACAAAAGAAAAGTCATTATCTGAGTCTTCTAAGCATACATACTCAATGAGATGAATAGGTAAAAACCTAGCTGGTAAAATTGTAAAGGGTCTCTCTCTCACTAGATTACTTGATGCCTGATAAGCCAACACACTTTGTTTTTTCTCAACTTTTACTTAAATCTTGTGCCCTCTTTAAGTCTACTTTCCTGGGGTGCCTGGGTGGCTCAGTGGGTTAAAGCCTCTGCCTTCGGCTCAGGTCATGATTCCAGGGTCCTGGAATCGAGCCCCTCATCGGGCTCTCTGCTCAGCAAGGAGCCTGCTTCCTCCTCTCTCTCTCTCCGCCTACTTGTGATCTGTATTTGTCAAATAAATAAATAAAATATTTAAAAATAAATAAATAAATCTACTTTACCTGAGAAGAGGACTTAATTCCAATCAGAAAACTTCCATAGGGGCGCCTTGGTGGCTCATTGGGTTAAGCCACTGCCTTCGGCTCAGGTCATGATCTCAGGGTCCTGGGATCAAGCCCCGCATC